ATTAATTCACAACCAAAAACAATCTAGATATGTAGGATTCGCTATATAGATTCATTTGACAATGCTATAAAAACACAAGCAATTTAAAATAAGGGCAAACCATCCAAATTAAACATTGAAACAAGTACAAAGATATCATATTTTCAATCAAATTGAAACAAAAAAAGAAAAGAAAAGAAAACCCGAAGAAGGATTAACCTTTGCCACCTTCTTCCTCTACCTCAGCCTCCTTAACCGTCACCACGGGCTTGCTATTGCCGCCCTCTTTATCTTCAGGATACCTTACAACAACGACGGGGCAAACACAGTGATGGACACAATAATCACTCACGCTTCCCAACTTCCCATCACTCCCTCTTTTCTCAGCTCCAAAACCTCGACTCCCCATTATAACAGCACTCAACCCTAACCTCTCCACCTCAAGGCACAACCTTTCCCTCATATCATGATCTTTCACTATATGGATCTTAAAAGGAATCCCAGCTTCCTTCAAGGGTTTGGCCAAATCCGCCACCATCGACGCCGTGAAGGCATCGAAATCGTCTTCCAGTTGTTTCTGTGACTGCGGCGTCCCAGGGCTCTGAGGGGAGTGGGGGAGTGGGCCCCAGTCTGCTCCATAGAGTACGGAGGTCGGGGAAACATGGAGGAGGAGGACAGCATCCTCGGCCCGGATGTAGTCCTGAACAGCCCAACGTACGGCAAAAGCAGACTCTTCGGAGAGGTCAACGGCTACGCCGATCTTGCGGCGAGAGCCGGCGGTGGGGGTAGCGGTGGAGGTGGGGTGGTGAGGGGATGATGGGTGGTGGATCTTAATGGTTGGGAGCTGAGGGTGGTCACTGTAATCCGAAGGATTCATTTTTTTTTTGGGGGGATTCAGTTTACGATGTTTTAGGTTGATGCTGAATAGAGGTTTTGAAGCAGTTGAAAATTTTGGACTTTGTAGAGTAACGCTTCGATTGACTTACCCCTTTCTACTTAAATTTTCAATTTATTTTCCTAATATTAAATAGCAAATTGAATTAACATCATTTTTTATACAGAAATATGCTAGTTTTATTAAAATTGGAAAATATTTAGAATTATAATAAAGATTTATAATCATAGTAGTAAATTAAAATATAACACGAAAATTAGCCACTTAGATCACACAACGACCAAATAAAAGAAATGTCAAACAAAATAAAGATGCGAACGAATCTAATTGAATTGACAAACGAACCACAAAAAATGATAAAACTACTAAAAGACCACGATAAATCGCAAATCAGAGTCGAGCGACGTGAGAAAACTATCCATGAACGCAAAACGCGTATCCAAATCACTCCAAGGGTTCAAAGCAAGGAAGATCAACATGATAACAAATAAGCGTCTTTTTGATTAGTTGTGGCGAAGTCAAATCCAACCCTGAGAAAAAAGATAAACGAAATGAGGGACAAACGATTGAAAACTACCAAAAGACAGAAAAATGTGTCATAAAGGTAAAGACAAACGTGCCACAAAGGTAAAAGTAAACAAATCACAAAGACAAAATTATTTTTATTAAAAATAAAAAAATAATAAAAAAAAAGAGAAAAAACAACCGACAATGATAACCAACATCAAAATTGATACTACTGTCTACTAAAGAAAATCGAGGAAGAAGAAATTGATTTAATCTATAAAAAAAAATCACTCTCATTCTTAATGGATTTTAAATTCATCTATCTCTTATAGGTGAAACTCTTATTTCTCATTCTTGTTCAAGAATCATCCAAATCGAAACAAGGAGCAATGAACTCAACATGGTCGAAGTCGTCTTCGTGAGAATTATATATAGGCTTAAATGCATATTTTCCCCCATGAACTATATTTTTTTATCGAGTTACCCCTTAAAGTATTTTTCGTACTGCTTTACTCACTCAACTAAAAATAATTATCTCGTTGCCTAAAATCGTTAACAACGTTAAAAACAGCATGGGTAAGTTACATATTTAGTCATTCAACTATTATAACGGTTGTGTTTTCACCACTTAATTATTTTTTCTTTCAAAATAATCACTAAACTTAAATTATTTTCCATTTTAGTCACCTAATTTAATTTCACGTCTGCTTCTTCACCCTTTATGGGTTTTTTTCCTTTTGTTTAATCTAAACAAGGTTTAGATTAGTATATAGGGGTGTTCAATCGGTTGGTTTGGTTAACCGACCGAACCGAACTTTCAAAATTTCATTAACTGATTTTTTTTCTCGTTTTAACCGTTAACCGAACCAAAATTTTTTCCAAAAATAATTATTTGAACCGAACAAAGTTCAGTTAATCGGTCAGTTAACCGAATTAACCAAAATTTTAAATAATATATAGTATATATTTAATATTTAATATTTTGGTCGATTAATTCAGTTAAAACTGAAATTTAAACACTACTAAAGCTATTAATAGATAAATAATATATTAAATATTTAAAAATTTCGGTTAATTAACCGATTTCTAACCGAATTAACCGATAACTGAACTTTGAAAAAATCATTAATTGTTAACCGACCAAACGTAAAATTAACCGACTGATTAACAAAAAAAATCAGTTCGATCGGTTTAATCGGTTAATCGAAATATTGGAGAAAGGTGAGATTTTAATGGTGGAGAAAGGAGATATGGTGATAGAGTGATGAAAAAGGTGTAAAGGAAGGAGAGAGTTCTTGAGAGGATTCAAATCTGGAAAAAATAATAAAATGTAGGATTTGTGCGTGCTTCTACAATCACAAAATGTCCTGAATGTGGTTGTTTTTTAATCCCAATTTTTAGATTCATTGTTTCCTTTTTAATGGTAACATTTATTTATTTAATGATTTTATTTATTATTTTTTAATTTCAAAAAAATCGTAATTGAATTCAATTTAAACACATTGAAATTAGTCATTTCAAGTGTGTCTTTCAGTAATTTTCAATGTTTAAATGTCTCAAGATCAAATATTATGTTTTTCTAATGAATTTTTATATATTAAAAATTTTAAAAATAAATCGAATAGAATTTAATGACCAAAATGAAACAAAAACCTAAGTGTAGTGATGATTATGAAAAATAAAATAGTTTGATGACCAAAACAAAATCGTGAGAATGGTTGAGTGACCAAGTATATGTAATTCACCGCTGTGTTTTTTAACAGAATTAACAGATTGGGAAAAACAGAGGAACGAATTTTAGTTGAGGGGATAAAACGATACGAAAAATACTTGGCAACACTATAAAATAATATAGTTAAAGGGGAAAATAGAGATTTAAGCATTACTCACTATCAACAGTCAAATACCGACAGAAACGTTCTTTATTTATTAACAAATTTTCAAGCAAAATCAATCATAAGAACACTCTAAGTCATTGAGACACCTCTAATTTCCACATTAAATTTCAACACTTCTAACCTTCCCTGCCTTCATCCATATAAATCGTCCAAAAGAACAAACCATGTGAAGTGGAAAGAAAAAAAATAGATTTGTTAAGATATTAATATTAATAAACAGAACGCGTTACACCAATCTTGTGGACGTGCCGGAGTGGTTATCGGGCATGACTAGAAATCATGTGGGCTCTGCCCGCGTAGGTTCGAATCCTGCCGTTCACGCTCCTTTTATTTTTTTACCCCTTTTTGGTGGCAATGTATGCATTTTCCTGCAATTGTTTTAACATCGTATTTTCCTAGTCAATTTCCAGGAAAATGAGATTACACTGCAAAAAAAATATGCTAACCCATGAATTACTTAAAAAGATTGATTTTTCATAATGGTTAACCAAAATAAATCCAAAAAGAAAATCTGGGGAATGAAGAAACATATCACTGAGAGCAACCAAACAAATAGTTGAAAACACTCGGCTTTTCCCACCCCCATGCATTAACCAGACTATAAGCCCCCACATCCACGAAACTGTTTGGCTTCATCATTTCGTTTCTTATATTTAGTCAAATATTTAACATGGTTTTCTTCAGATTATCGGTTTGTTCAAAGTTTATATTAGAACTTTCAACTGCACTCATCGGTTACAGTATCAGCTAGCAGCAGCCAGTTTCTGATCATTTCCAGTGTCGTTGGTAACATTATATACTCCATGTCTGTGTACGTTTTGCTTAGATTTTCCTGGAAACAGTGATAGTCTATCTCTATGCTGGCTACATTACACGTTTTTAAAAAACAAACCCTAAAAAGGTTTACTTAATTAGATCACTCCCATCGACAAAGCTAGAGATACCCTCCTTGTGTCTCACCCCATTGAAAAAAGAATAAAAGTACAATTCTAAATGAGAGACAGTAACAGTTGCTAGGGTTTTGAGCCCATTCTTTCCATCCCATTTATATTATATACATATGTAAGCATGATTCGAGCTCGACAAAGCTAGAGATACCCTCCTTGTGTCTCACCCCATTGAAAAAAGAATAAAAGTACAATTCTAAATGAGAGACAGTAACAGTTGCTAGGGTTTTGAGCCCATTCTTTCCATCCCATTTATATTATATACATATGTAAGCATGATTCGAGCTATAATCTCAGAAAACCTAACCTATAGCTTAGAATCTTAGACACGATATTGTTGAGAGAGACAACCACGGAATATAACAAAGAATATGGAGCTATAATAATCAAATTCAAAATTCTCACATAGGATTACTTGAGCCAAACGAAACTATTGATTTGCAGTTTCTACATGCAACAACACAAGACCAGTCTCTACAATCTATGCATATCTTCTTCCATGTATGGCATATTTTTAGCCAGTTTCTTTAGCATATAGTTTCCGGGACAAGCTTTAAAGCTTGGGGCATGTACAAATCTTTTGAAGCTGACAAAATGGATTGCAGAAAGTAGAAAGATCAATTGCAGTAATTTAGTATATCACATATAATTAAGTTTTTTAATGCTGTATTTGGAATTTGGTTTTTTTGTCAAAAGGGCATTAATTACACACACACCACCAAATCAATGTAACAGTAAAACCAAAACAGACAATTTCCCTGTATATATATGCTTCTAATAAGAAAGCTTGAGTGACAACTCAACACAATTAGAAGCATTAGCATGAGAAGCTTCACCTCCCAGAGACAAAGAATCATCTTGTGGCAGTTCCCATTCTTTGAAAGCGGTGTTTCTGCCATTTTTGTCAGGGAAAAATTCATACTCCGTCACATAATTTCCAGTGCCAACCGAGTTTCCCTTCTTGTGAATAGCTAACACATCCACAGTCTTCCCCCCAGAGAAAAAAACCCAGAAAAATGAAATTACATCAAAAGAGTTCCAGTAGAAAAGAAATGCGTTCGATTTGATTCAAAACACAATTTCATTTTTACCTCATTGATGTTGTTCATTTGGCCTCCTGTTGCTGCTGCATAGGCATAAGCACTCCTTGCAGCTCTAGCACTGAATCCATTCATCTCTTCATTGATGTAATTTTGATTGTTTTCCAGGTTCCTTCCATGAAAATCAGCATCTTTTCTGGGGAAAATTTGTCCAAATTGGTTGAATATCCCTCCAGTTTCTCCACTGCAACGCTTCTTCTGCAACGTGTGTAAAAAATTATTAGTAAGATAAGAATAAAGATGGCCAGGGCCAATACTGGCTAGTTTCTGGATTTGTTACATACTTATATTTTCTAGCTAACCAAACAGGACTCAACTCCAAACCAGAAACACAAGTCTGCAAACAAAACGAAACCCGGAGCTCAAAAAACTTTGCAGATTAAGAAGAACTATACCTTGAAGCAACAATCACAACGATCAGGTTTACAATGCTGAAACTTTGGCATTGAAGAGATCTCTTTTGAAGCCTCCACAACACCACAACCGACCTGCCAATTACCAGGATTTCCCACAAAAACCTGACCATTAAACCCACCAAATCCTCCATTTCCGACAACCCTTTGCATCATCAAACCATCTGTTTCACTTCCCGAACCCCATAACCCCCCACCACTTCCACCATTGATCACCATTCGAACATGTTGGTAAAATAGACTGTTGCAAAACGAGACATTAGCATTAACTGGAAAAATATATATTGAAATATATAATTAAAGAACCGATTAACCATGTCGTGGTATTAACCACTGCCTTAGAAACGAATTCGTCCCGATGTGTGTAATCGCTGCAGTAGGCAGACCGTCCCCCGAGGTTAACACGGTCGCTCCAAATTTCGTACACTCAAAACCGGAGTGGACTGCTGGTGGTATTGCACTTCTGATCGGAAAGCACGGAGAGAACAACTTTAGAAAACACTTGGAGAGTGAATTCTAATTGTAGAGAGTGTGTGTTGAGAAGCTGATTTTAGCTCTCTATTTATAGGCTATAAGTAAGGGTAAATTCGTCCAATAAGAAAATCAAATTAAATTTGATTTTAATTCTGAATTTAAACCCTTTTTGTAACTCCTCTTGATGAATCTGGCTAAAAAAGAGTCCATGTTCATTGCATAAAAATTAAACAGTTATAACTCCTGAAATTAAATCAGATAACTCCTGTAACTCCTGATATTAACAGTTTGTCTCTCCCATGAACAAAGCTTGAAATCAGTCCAGATACATGTTAAATTCTGATTTAATTTAGGAAAATAACAGTTTAATTTATTTAATTTCAGACAACTAATAATCAGTTATTATCATCTGAAATATTCGAACTTTAATAGTCTCAGTAGCCTATAAATATCAGATGAATCTTTCACATTTTTCATTTAATATTTCAGAGAAAAATTCCTTACGAATTTTCTCTAAAAAGATATTATTCGTGTGGACGTGTGAAAGATACGTATTACCACGCCTTGTTCTCTATCACTCAACAAGGGAATGGAGAATGTAAACCTTAAATACCATTCCCACTAGTATTTCCAACTCTATGTGGGATTGAGCATTACCAACATTCTCCCACTAATGCGAAAGAATTCTTCTGAAACTCGAAAACAATCTTTCCAGAAGAGCAATAGCGAGATTAGTTGCTTAAGCACTAGTGAACGTATCTGGAACTAGTACATAGTGATGATGAGCAATCATTCTCTTAGATAAGTGAAACTAGTCTGGAACTTTCTAAGATGGGGGTAAACTCATAACACACAACTAACCCCTTCATCCACCTGAGTCCTCGATGTGTAAGATATATATATACAAAAAATATATATTTGGCCATCTTACCTCAGGATTCTAGTAAGTGTGCTAGAAAAATGGCCCAACATTTTTCATAGAAAGGTGGCTAACCCTTCTCACTTACATAGGTTATTTCATCAAGTTTATCTCGATATAAACCACCCTTAACAGGGATATGAAATAATTAAGAGCTTTTATAATAGCTCAACCTCACAAAAGGTATGGTGACTTTTTTCAAGTTCATTATTAATGAACCACCCAAACTCTGGGCTAAGAAGTCATTAAGAATAAATATTCATCCTCAATTATCGGTAAATTCAATAAGTCCTTCTCACTATAACCATCCAAAAACTTGGATTTAAATTTATTAAGAGTTTAACAAACTCAACATTTCTGTCGGTAAGTTCATTATTTCTTTTTCATTTAGGACTACCCACTCACTCTGGGTTATGAACTTATTAAGAATATATATTCAACAAAAATCGGTAAATTCATCAAGTCTTTCTCATTAAGACCACCCAAAGTCTGGGCTATGAATTTATTAAGAGCAATTAAGTTGGTAAGCGGTAGGAATGTGCACTATGAGTCTTTCCATGGTTTCGTTTGACCACATGGAACTTAGATAACTAAGTTGGGTATCCACCATGAATTCCTCAACCAATGGGCTTGAGACCCATCCCCTCGACGAATCTAGGACCAGCTTCCGACTTACCTTTGGTAAGCGGATCTGCTAGGTTCCTTTCCGACTTATCATACTCTAAAGAGAGCACTCCATTCTTTATTAAGTGTCTAACTGATTCATGTCTTATGCGAATGTATCTTTTCTTACCATTATACACATATCACATCTTGTGAATCACACAACAAAGAAATTGGAGGAGTCGGTCTTCCCCACAACAGAATATTTGCTAACAAGCTTCTGAGCCACTCGGCTTCTTGCCCAGCTAGGTCAAGAGCTATAAACTCTGACTCCATGGTAGAACGAGCAATACAAGTCTGCTTTGATGATTTCCACGAGATTGTTGCTCCACCCAAAGTAAAAACATACCCGCTCGTAGAGCTTACCTCATCATTATCAGAAACCCAGTTGGCATCACAATATCCTTCCAGTACCGCAGGAAAGCCAACGAACTCAAGTTTCCAATCCAAAGTACCCTTAAGATAATTCAGTAAGCGTTTAAGAGCAATCCAGTGTTCACCACTCAGATTATGAGTATATATACTCAGTCTACTCATAACATAAACAATATCAGGCCGAGTATAGTTCATTAAGAACATTAAGTTTCCGATTAATTTAGCATATTCAGTTTGGGAAACACTACTTCCTTTATTTTTAACAAGATGTATGCTAGAATCACAAGGGTTCGAACAGGGACGACATCAAAACTGTCAAATTTCTTTAACACTTTCTTAAGATAGTGTGCTTGACCTAAAGAAAATCTCGTTTCAGTTTTGGTAATTTTGACTCCTAAGATTATATTGACTTCTCCCAAATCCATCATCTCAAATTTAATGGACAAGAAACTGTTTGTTTTGTTAATGGACTCAATGTTAGAACTGAAAATCAACATGTCATCAACATACAAAACTTATGATGGCGTTATCAGTACCAAACATCCTCGAATACACACAAGCATCCGAATCATTCACAACAAAACCAAAACTAAGTATAGTTTTATAAAATTTCTTGTACCATTGTTCCCATATAGATCTCCTCATCTAGATCTCCATTCAAAAATGTAGTCTTAACATCCATTTGATGTACTTGCAACTTATGAATGGAGGCTAGTGCAAATAATGCAAGGATCATTGAGATGTTCATAACGAGAGAGTACGAATCAAAGTAGTTTAAAACAAACTTTTGAGCCCTTTTGACAAATAGCCTTGCCTTGTACCACTGGATCAAACCATCTGGTCTCATTTTCTTCCGGAAGATTCATTTTCTACATATTGGTTTAAATCCTCTAGGCAAGTCAACTAATTCCCAAGTATGATTAGACATTATCGATTCTAGTTCATCATTAATAGCGATTTTCTAGAACTAGTATCGATAGATCTTATAGCCTTTTTAGGATCCTCATATAATATTTAAGCTATATGATCAGAAAGAGAGTCTAAATCATTTATCTTAGAAATAAAGGAAGTGATAAAATTTGGTCCAAATAGCCTTTTACTTCTTCTAGTCTCGAAATCAATTTCTTGAGAAGACCTAACAGGAATACGAGAAGAAGTTGATAGAATATTTTCTATTTGAGTTTATGCATTTAATCTACATTTTAAGCCACCCCCACATTTCTAATATTTTAGGATATCCATAAGTGTCTTGTAAAACGTGTAAACAAATACTCAATCATACTAGAGTAAAGTTTGTTATGAGTTTTAGCCATAAAACTATATTTTAACAAACTTAAGTTTTGTTTACACATAATTATATTCTCAAAGTTTTGAGAAGTTACAAATCATTAAGATTAAAATGTATAAACCATTATGAAATAGATAATCTTTTTTCTTTCCTCTACTTAGGAAAACCACTTAAAGAAATTTAATAACTACAACACACTCTTAGTAGCAATAATGTCTATCATATTTTCATTCATGATATTCAACATATTAGCCTTAAAGAGATCATCACATATTTTATTTACTATGACTAAGTTTGGTATTTCACTCAACCAAATTAATCTTTACTCTTTTAACTTCTACACTAAGTTTAAAGAGTTATCATCTTGTCATAGTATTTTATAAATTGAAATAGTGAGCATAGTAATGAACAATGCACCAGGTATGTTTCTATGAAAGAGAGGTGGTGCACTAGGCACGCTTAAATACCAAGTCTTAATCGAACCAATCCTAGACATGCACTTTTATACTCATCACACTACTTTCCAATAAATTATTTATAGATTTTCTCTTTCTTAAGGCTTCTTAAAGAATTATGCTTGATACTTTTAATCACAATAGTATCTTATTAAGCATATATTTCGGGTTTGCACTACTACCTTAGCCTTAGTAGTACTACCTTAGTCTTTACTAGTGATTTTATCTCATTTCATAGTATCCACTGAGTTTTAAAGACTACCTTAAAGGCTCATGCAGTCTAATTCATGTATTTAAAAGAACATGAATTAACAAACAACAAGTCTAAATAACCTGACCTCGTAGGTAGAGTCATAATTTCCAAATAGACTTGTTCATCCTCACCATGCATGCTACTTCAGCCTTTGCATTAGGACCTCAAAATCTATCATGACAATCACTTCATCTGACCCATCATCTCTTTTGAATCTTTTGAATTCAAATGAATAATATATATGGTTAGTAACAAAAATATTTTTACTAACAGTAATAAAATAAAAATAATTTACTGATAGTAATAAGATCCATATCTTTAAGATTTTGGTTCCTTATCTTCAGTAGATTGTGAAAATAAAACTCGAATTTAACAACTATTTCGATTTGAAGAATCTTCTCGTCCAACATCATCATCTTCATGATTCTCCAAAATTGCAACGTTCTGTTATCTTTATAATTTCTCAAAAGAAATTATTAGTACGACAAGAGAGTTGACATTTATTTTTCAACTTACTATTCAGAAACTGAATAGTTTCATAGCTCAACTCATTGTACATGAACCAACCATATTAAAATTCTTAAACACATAATAAAGAATTAAATAAGGCAGGCCATGGAAACATGAAACAATTCACTAAGAATAAAACAACCATCTACCACCTTTATACAATATTGTTAAAGCTTAATAAATTGTCATTAAAGCTTAATAAACAATTCAATTGCTTGCTATAATAGAACCATTAAAATCTCTATTCAAAGCTTACCGTTTTTTTCATGATTTTTCATTATT